TACTCTTCTCATTTCTTTAGCAGACCATGAAACTTCTATAGGTTTTCTACTAAAAAATTTTGTCAATCCTGGCTGTTGTCCTATCCTGATGAGAAAAGACCTCTGTTTGACAGCATTATTCAAAATATTTATTGGCTCTCCCTGCAACACACATACAAACACCATGGGAAGATTATCCATCCCCATACTTTACCCTCAGGAGGGGCCATGTGAATTGCTTTGGCCAATAAAACATAGGCAGAAACGACAGTGTCACTTTTGAGTACAGACTTAACAGGTTATGTCTCTTTTTTCCCCTTTGTGAGGACACTGGAATACGTCTGGAATGAAGATGGTGTCAAGAGCTACAGCGGACCCACAATGGACCTGTGATGGAGACATGATAGAAGGCTCTGTTGGTATAAGCCAATGAAGCGTCAGGGACTCAGTCTAAGCTGATAGATACCACTTCTCAGGTCCCATCAATGTGCTCTTCATCTCCATTGTTCCTTCCATCCCAGGCTGTACCCTGGAGCTAGAACATCAGGCCCAATGCAGTGAGGGGGGTGTGTGTAGAACTGTCTAGCAAATCACTGGAACTTAGAAGGCCTAAAGCTGGGGTCTTTGTACTTAACTCTCTCTGCCTCTGGTCTGACCAGGTCTGTTCTAATTGGCTGGCTATCCCCAGGCCCTGGGGTTAGGATAATAATACTCCATGACTTCTTATTCCAGAGCAAAGGACACAGCTCACCCAAGGGTGACTAGTGGTTTCATTCTGAATGTCCACATTGCTTAGAAACACACATGATCATATAAAAATTATTTTTATTAAAATAGAAAAGCTTTCCAGTATATTGCATTGAAAACATTTATACAGAAAAAAGCAATTGCAACAAACATGCTACATTAGCATTGAGATATTCTGAAAGGTTTAAGTGCCCACTTTTCAACATTTTGGTATAGTAAGGATATCCCTATGTATTTCAGAGGATACAAATAATACTGAAAAAAATACTTCATGTAAAATCTAAGTCCAGGTGCATACAAATAAGAAATATTACATTGAATAGCTTATTCCAAACTGTAAAACACATTCAAAGTATTCAATTTCTTAGACAACATGCAAACATTTTAATACTCAACTCGACATTTTTAAATATATAAATCACAATTCTTTATCGCTCTATGTCCAAAAAGAAAGTCAGACAGAACACTTATCTACATTGTGCATATCACAAAAAGCAAATGTGTTTTCATGAACAGAAAGTACTGGTTTAACACACATGATTGTCATTTTACAAATATGGCTATTCACCTTCTTCATAATAAAATAGAAATATCATGTATTATTTACATGAATACTAATTATTTCACTTTTTGGCAATTATATATGTAGCAGCAATTGGTTTAAAGATTGATGTTTAAAAACTATAACTTTAACTCAGATGAATACTGAAAAATATATATCTGGTTACTTTTAATATAAAATTGCATAATGCAAGATGCTTTGATGTGATGTAACTTCTCCCTTTCACAAAAGTCACAGACACGAATCAATGACCACTGAGACTGTCGCAACATCTAAGGATATAAGTGTCATTTAGTTAGCTTATTTTTTTTGTTTTGCTTAACACAATAGATGAGGTCTTGAATTAAATTTCTGTAAATTAACTTAAATTTGCCTGATACTTTACATGATAATTTCAAAGATGCTTTATTTTTATTTCATACTCTCTAATAGCAGTGGCTGCTCCCTGGGACTCCTAGGTTATAGACAGGTAATTATCTATAAACAAAAACAAACACCAGGGAAACCTTAATACTTATAGGACTTCTGAAATGAAGTTCTGTGATATGATCCCAATAGTAAACTCAGTTTTCTTTCTAAGAAGTGATCATCTCACTTATTGGTGAATTAAATTGGCCTTAGAGTGGGGGACCTATCTAATGAACAAAATGTAAATCTTAAGGCAGCGATCCACCAGAGAGAGACATCCTCTTTTCATTTGGATTTGAACACTTGTAAAAACAAAACAAATATCCTATGCATACTGGCAGACTAAAAAAAAAAATACTGTGTGGTGAATAGAGGTGACATGTGCTTTTACTTGGCCATAATTCAACAACAAATCAGCAGTTCTGAATGTCTTTCACAAGGTAGAAAGTTAGGTGGAGGAACACTTTGCACCTTTCGCGGGGAGTCAGTTGTGTGTCCACAGCAAGTGCAAGGCAAGGCCCAGGCTGAGGACAAGGAGAAAAGAGTGGTGGGGAGGCTTGGCCACAATGCCGGCCGAAGGCACACTGCTGGAGACTTGTACTTGGGAAATGATGAGGGCAGAGAGAGGGACGTGGGACGCCAGAGTAGGACTGTCAGAGTTGATAAGGGACTCAATCTTCTCTGCTTCTTTATTGCAGGCTTCAATCTAGGAGGGGCAAATAAAATTCTTTTAATATAAGAGCACAGAACCTATGAAAAGGTCAAGTCAAAGTCCCCATATATCCCCAGAATACTGTGGCCTGGAGGAAACTGCTTTCTCTTTGTTGTTCTTTCCTTGGCCAAAGTAACATTTTATTATAGTCT